ACCGCAATACTTACTTGAAACGTCTATTTATTACAATTGGAGAAATTGCATCATTACAATGGAATAATATATCGTAGCTATTAACTAAATATTGCACAGTACAGTACTACTTCTGAGATTCTCATTCTACAATTTCAAATATAAGACAATTTACGTTTATATATATTTTATAAAAAAAAAATCTAAACAAAATACTATATTGTCAGCTATGTACTTTATGTCAACTATTGTGTTTGTGTGTACACACAAAGTTTGGGGCGGCGTTCTCTGATGATCTCCGTATAATTATATTTTAATCCTCTGTTTAATCTCTAACATGGATTTAATGAGTTCGTTTACGTCCAACAAGAAACAGAAGGCGTCCTCTCGTCAGCACGTTATTTCCACGAGGAAATTACGTGCTGTTCACGAAGTTTTATGTTGACAGATACCTCTAGTCTGTGAAAATATGCGCTACGATATAAAAAATAATAAAAGAGGTGCTTGGTCTTCTAAAAATGTACCTGAGAAACGCAATTTCTCTGGGTGTATCTTCTATTGACGTGTAACAATTACTAAACATTGTTTTGTTGGTTATCAAAAATAACAGTTGTTTAGTTGTCTGCATGGTATCCAGAATCATTTATGCTAAACCATGTTAACGTATTGGAAAATTTACTGATGCTGCGTACCTGTAGTTCAACATCGAATTGCGTCAGACTTTACTGTGCTAATTACATTATATAACGATGAAATTATCTACCAATTGTTAAATTTTAGCCAATTGATAATATTGCACTTATATAATCACTGAGTAATGAACCAACACATATGTATTTTTTGTAAATGTTAATTTTGTGACGAGCTGTATCTAAAAATAGACATAATGTTAGTTTGGTTATTTAGGACAACGATATTATTTTCATCAGTCATTTCACAATTGAGATTCATTATATTAAAATTAAATTCCCATTTCGTTATTCGTCATCCCCATTAATGCTCGTCAAGGTTTTCTCAAATTACTACAGCGGTTGATAAATTATAACTCTCTTTTTATAACTTTCAATTTATATTTTAAAATAGCTTGACTTGTATTTACATTGAGTTACAAAGGAATTAAAGATGAACGAATCCATGGTGCTTTGTGTGCAAGAGCGTTATAGCACAGACAATATAATACTTTAATGGTTATAGTTTAGAATTTACACTTCCCACTTGTAAGCTGTCTCTCCGTACCTGTTGGCCCAGTTATTGTTTATTGCTCTGTTTTGGCGTCGGACCAAAGACAGGCTGTGTTATTGAATTACAAACTTCTTCCACTATAAACACTAGTACAGTTTTGCTGTTTTGTACCCAAGTAGCATCTAAATTCAAATATTACATACATTTGAAATGAGTGTAAACGTTAACTGCACTTTCAACTCTTTCTCATTGAATTTTTTTACTATATGGAATTCCATCTAAGCACATCAGTTTTATATTTAAAGTTCACTGTTGATGTGCTTATTTTATTCTTTAGAAAAGGTTTAACTAATCGTACTGCTTACTGCCTAATTACGCTACGGCATTTTCGGGGAAGTCTTCGGGTGCGCGAAGAAGGGTAGTGATTATATGGTCAATGGTAGAAGTGCACTCACTGTAACATAGTTTATAAATTTAAGGGTTATTGCAGACACATATTCTATCGCAGACTAGTAAAACAGAAGATTCGCTAAGTTTCGAGATCCGAAAGTTCCCCGGCAGTGTTAGTTTTGTATGTTCTAGGGTCCTTCTTAAGACGTGACAAGTCGGCATATAGATATATGCCTAGAACATAACTTTTTTAATAACATGGTTCTCTTTTACGATTTCATACTACGAGCATTTTTATAATACTGTATAATATTTCACAGTTAAAATTATTCCAAACCACTAATAAACCACCAAGTAGCCTTAACTAGATATTAATGGTGTTGGGTCATTTACTCATAGATGCACAACGTGAATCAGTTTGCGTACGCCTTGTTTTACGCCGACTATCGTATTATCTGAACTGCCTCATCACTACAGTAATTAATTAGTGCAGGGTGGGGTCACGCCAGGTATAGTATTGCAGGACTTGACGCACGCGCATAACACATTGTTGTACAATCGATGGGTTGACCGTTGCTGCACTTGTCATTCACCAAACATTGTACACTGCAAAGTGCAAGCCCTACACACGGTTGTAGCCGGCCGGCCAGTGTTGCCACACTTGACGATATGCAAGCACGTTTAGGTGTAGAACAGGTAGAATTCTGTGTAACTGTAATCGGATTATTGTTAATTATAAGTTCATAGAGTAGTGATATGCGATTTAAATAAAATATTTGACTCGTTTGATATTATCAGAGGCGCTTTTCTGGAGGCAATGCGTTATATTTGCTTATCCCGTTTTGACCGTTTGACTTGTAAAGTGATGATTTTTCTAAAACCCACATTGAATAATGGTATTATGAAATCCGCATAACTTTTGTAGCGAATTTCCCCTGATCTTTTAAATTGTCGTTCCATAGTGAAAATTTCAAGTTCTAGGAACTAAAGTCAGATGTCAATTACAATTATTATAGCCTATATAAATATCTTTCTTGACAATTACTCTTTTATTTCTTGATTTAAACGCCAACCATATTTTTTTCAGTTTTTGTGTTTAGAGAAAACGGTTAGTGGGACATGATAAAAATACAAATTTTCGTTCACTATTCAAAACGTAGTCAAGCACAAAGATGAACCAACGATTGCTTAAATCGCACATACTTGTGTTATTTATTTTTATATTACTTATGTAGAAAAAATTGAATATTTCTATAACTTGTACCAGTAACGCTAACACCACAATTAAACTATCTGTACCACAAGACGTTTTAACGATTGATTATAATTAAACGAGAGATAATTGTTCACATTACGGCTATTAACATTGTGGTACGAATGAGGAAAATTATAAAATTGTTCATTATTATTTGTGACGATGACACAGCGATTTGATGGCACAACACAACAGTGATTGTACATCTGGCAACACACGGCGGGTTAACCCCCAGCGTGGAACCCTGGGGTACCGCAAAAACTGTTGTTCTTGTACAGATTGCGTATCTTATCGCGCAACACGCGCAATGACGCATTTGATGAATCATAGATCGATGTTTACGTTGTGATAGTGAGTGTGCTTTTAAGGTTGCGATATTGAACTTGAGGCTTTACCTTAAATGGTTCTGATAGGGTTCGGTGGATGAAATCATCTTTCATGTTTCAACCTCTACTCTACCACTGAAATAGTATGTCGCGTGAGTATAAATAAGTATAAATTATACTCCACAGCACAGAAAACATATTAGTATGTTTTCTGTGTCCACAGTCAATACGGATACTAGATACGATAGCTAAGATACTTGATGGGTTTGGCGTGGTTGGTTCTAACTTCTTTTTATTTCGAATACGATTCAGTATAAGTACATAATGTTATTTTATGCTACACTACACTTGGTCGTAGATAGCGTTTCTGCTTGATCTTAAGATAAACCAGTAAATCTTACGCAGCATTTTTTTGGTATTTTTGAAAATAAACTTAGTAAAAAGTCATTAGGTATATTGTATTTGAAAGAAATGCACTGGTTTGTTGTTAGTTTCAGTCGAGCGTGCAGGCGAGGAAGTTACCGTATTTTGCAGCTTTTAATGACAAAGGAAAGTGTAGGGGAACTATCATCTCGTGGGAGTCAATTATAATTAGTAACGGATGAACAGCGCTGCCAACCTGGTACTTATACCGTGTGAGAGACCCCCCTCCCCTCCACCTAGCCAAGGTGTACTGAATGCAATTTAGTTCCACGTAGTACTTAGTGTTGTAACGGTTTGTTGATTCATATACACAAATCCTTTCAGAATACGATCTAGAATTATTGGCTACCTTACCATTTAGTCATACTCGACTCCGCCTATTATGCTCATCGCTGTATTGGTTTACAATAGACCTATTGCAAATTAGGGTAGAATTAAAAAAAAATATATATTTCATACCGGTTTAACAGGAATGGCCCTGGTGTTGAAATTAGTAAATGAGCCCAAATCTTGACACAAAAATACAAATCTCACCACTCTTGCTCCTTTTCCTACCTTGTTTTTTCATCACACTATCTTGTTTTAGTAGCCTAGTGGTAGTAAGTAGTGTGTTCGCATTCAATTCGGCCTTAAGGGTGCTAGTTCAATCCTAAGTGGCGTATGGACCCAGCTGTCATTTTGTCTTCGCTATAATTGACGCTATCTTAACAAAAGGTCGTCGAAAGATAGAAAAAAGGGAATAGTTGGGACTGTAATGCAGGTGTTAAATTATTAATCACCTGAAAATCTACTACAACTACATAAACATCATCACAATTTTCACCCTGCATAAACTCAATATCCCTTTTTTAGCGATTTTTCCTTTAGGGAAGTAACTATTACCGTAGGTTGCATGGTAAGACCTAGGCCCGGGACCGATTTACTATTTCATTTTGATGTCCCCAAAGGCCAAAAACACCATTCGATCAAATTTATAAATTCCCATGTTATTCTTATAGAAAATATTGTAAAATGTTGTAGGCCTAGTTTGCTTGTTTATGGATATATTTTGATCAAACTTGGTAAACTTATTTAATTTATACATACTAAGTTAATAATATTTTACAAAAAAACACACTTTTAACCCTCACTGTAGCAGCAAGCCTAGGTACTTATAAAACTTAATGTTGATTAAATACATTTAATTGAAAATCAATTCAGGAAAATGGAAATTCGCTTAGCCGGCAGGTTTACTGCGGCGGGGTATTATTTTTCACCACTATAGGTACAGATTAAAGACACACGACTCCCACTTCGACTGAGTGTTATAAAAGAATGACCTAAATCTAAATCTATAACCGTGGTAGACCATAAAATGTCTTGGGAATTGTGAACCATGTTTCAACTTATCCCACTTTATCACTGATTGTTGTGCAATGACCCCTAACTCCCATGTTATGTTACAGGTGAGGGGCTGAGTCACGTGGTTTATCCCCCAGTGCACCCTGCTGCAGGTAAGATATTTTGAAACATTGTTTTGTTAATTACTCTAAACGTGCTTACGGAATGAACTTTGTGTTACTAGGCCATTTAATGCTAGACTTTGATATAAGATCAAACCTGTCTTGTTCGGAGTGATAGAGACTCTTTCTCTCTTGGAGGATGCTCCGTTTTTGATCCGATGTGTTATTTGGCATTTTATTCAAACTCTTAATATACTCCATACACTCCTCCAACCCAGCTCCAATCTGCGTTTTGGTTCTGCTCAGTCCTACCATTGAATTGTGGATACTAAGTAGACATCCAGCGGGGCAGTTATGGGCCTCTCAAATTGTGTTACAGTCTAAAAATTATCCTTTCTCCCTTGATTTTTTGTTGCTGTGATCAAATTAATGGTGTTACATACACGATGATGTACAATAACTTCTCCTTTACGTTGGCTTGGTTGAAAGGGGTGCGTGTAGCATAAATTTAGTAATTCTCATCTCAGCTCTCTGTCGAGTACTCAAAGGTTCTACGCATTGTAGGGTGGGGGGAGGGCGAAGTCTTCACCAACAGACATCTCTTAACTCTTCTCTGACGGAATGAGGAAGCGTTTACTTATCACAGTTAACATTATGTCCCCAAATTGTCCAATCTGGCTGCTCAGCTCATCCTGACACATTTGTCTCGTCGCTCGAGGTCGAAGGGTAGTCCATTTCCGCTTCCGGTTTCACGTCATTATCGTTTGTCTGTTAACCTTGTCACCGCTGCGCTTATGCTCATGGAAGCGAAGCAAAAAGTCCCTTGTCTGTGGTGAAAATGAATATTAAAAAAAACTCTTTTATCTCTAATAGTATTGCTAATATTGACTTCGATGACGAATTTGTCCCCCTCAGACCCCTTTTACTGGTAATTGGTGTAAAACCAAGCACCCATTCCCAAGCAAGTTAACATCAAAACTGTCCGTCCGCGGCGGTTCTTTATTTTGCATCTATTCACGCAACGTCCGTGACTCGGCTGATGTTGTTTATTAGTTATTCATGCTGTAAACAACGTACGAGTCACATTACACCTTGCCAACATTAACATTCAACAATCTGTGTTGCTGTAAGGTTCGTGGTCTTTAGATACACACACCGATTGTCATTTAAACAATTCTGTGTTTGGTAACCCGTTTTGGTAACGAAGCTGATACAATAAGCAATCATAACATCAACAGTCGGACAGTACACTGTTAACACAATGAACGAATGTTGAGTTTAGACAGTTAAGAATTTTCTTTTTTAATTATAATTTAGCAGTTAATAGAAATATTCACTGATCCTTGTAAAAGACATTGGTTATCGTTATCCGAAGATTTTATAGTTTGCTTAATTGCTTGTAGACTAATTTTAATTTTATTGTTTTACGCAGCGTGGCCATGCCGGGTGAAAAGATGATGTGAGTGTTTTTACTAACCTTTTACTTGTTTCACCCCTCCCCTTTGCACGAACGAGTTTGCTTTGTGTAGTTGTATTGTTAATTTTGTTATGTTGTCGTATTATTTCGTTATTTTTTTGTAGTTTTTTTGTTTTTGTGTGGCAATTAAATATATTATTCTTTATAACCTGTGATAATCCAACATGTCTTTATAGTGCTGTACTGCCGTACTAAGCACAAAGGGGGTATCTGCACCTGAGCTGATTTTGAGAAAAAGAGGTTCCAATTCTAAACCTCTTAATTTCGGTAACCATGGGCCTAGGATCAATATTGCCATATTTACTGAATTTGTAATTTTTTCCTTTGTCTAAAAATACTACATTTACTTCAAAATGCCTATTTAACACATTTTTATGGCAGATACGGCTAATTGGAACAATTAACTAATCCTAAAATACTAAGTTATATAGCCGTATGTACAACTTACTAAGCTGATTAAGTAGTATCTGCGGCAGTTACGGCTAAATTACATTAGTAGCACACACTTACAACTAGGAATGCTTAGTAATGTATGTAGCACTATCTACTCATCTATATATATAAAAGGCAAAGCCCTCACTGACTCACTCACTCACTCACTCATCACTAATTCTCTTACTTCCCATTTACCTAGGAGGCTGAAATTTGGTACACTGATTCTTTAGGCATTAAATAGGAAAACTAAGCTGTTTTTATTCTGATCGGACTCTCGGGCTCCGCCCCAGTGGCTCTGGAGTCTCCCATTATACCTTATGAGTACTCATATTTAAATGGAATTAATGAATCTTAACAGCTGTTTCAATTAAACAAGTTGGTTCTGTTCTATGATGTTCAATAGCATTAAAGTTACAAGGATTACCAACAGGGTGCAGCACTATTATTTCTTTTAAATTTATGACAACAGCTAATTTGCAACCAAAAGGTGAGTGAGCGTAGCAAACGAACTTCAACCTGAAGCGAGTTAGCGTAGCGAACGAGCTAATCTGAAGGCAAGTGAGCGCAGCGAACGAGCTCCAACCTAAAAGTGAGTGAGCATAGCGAACGAACTTCAACCAGGACGTGATTGAGCCATGCGAACGAGCTCACTTATAAAGTTAAACGGGGCAAAGCCCGCAGGTACAGCTAGTCTATATATAAAGCCAAAAGTACCCATGAACTTTTAAGAAAACTACAAGTCACACCCCCATAAACCATATACTTAAAATGTTCGTCATGACGAGAAACCTTGCGCTAAATTATCCATTATTTCATAAATTTCATAAGGTCGTAATCGCTTTCCAAAGGGAACTTTCCATTTACCTAATGTTAAAAATACCTCAGCTGTTATTATTTGTTTGTATTAACATTACACTGAATTCTGTTATGTTTATTTCAGCTTTAAACTTAACCAATCAATAGTTTTATTAATACTTCTATAGTAAAACCGGGGAGCCCGTGGAGCTAGTAAAATTATAATTTGCCAAGTCCTGATCATAATACTAAAATTAAAAGTGTCTAGATAATTTGACCTGATCATTAGAATTATTTCAGGAACAATTAATAGCCTAGGAATAGTAACCAGCTGATAAAAACCTGAATTTATTTACAGATAATAGTAAACATTTTTGCACAAAAAACTTCTATTAGGCTAAATTATTCTGCAAACAAGGAAAGTTCCCTCTTAAAAACACTTATTATAAAGCTTAGAAGTAAAAAACAGTCATAAATCAAATCAACTTATTAACAAATTGATGACCGGCTTAAAAATGAAACAAATGTAATTAATACCGGTAATTGTCATGGTTTTTCATTGCACTAAAAAAACCTCAAAAGCAAATATTGTCTGTATTAATTATCAGATTTTTCTGAGATCACTGGGATATTTTCCCAAAATGAGAAACGGCTTTGCGGAACAATACCCTTTTTGGAATGTAATAGATTCTTCAATATTGCATTTTTTCTTGATGTCGATATTCCGACAGGAGTTTTATAGTTAGAGGGTAGTTTTAGTCCAGTTTTCAAACTCAGTGGGGTGAGAAAATGTAATTCTTTCCACTCTTCATCGTCATAGGAGGTTTTGTAGAGGAGATAGAAAATGCCTCTCCTTGCTTGTACCTGAACCACATCTCGTAGATATGGACGGCTACCTAATGATAAACAAATATTTCAGGAAACGTACAGACATATTACAGGAATATTTATAAAAGAGTAAGCAAAACTGTTAATGTTACCGATTACTTATAACTATAAAAAGCAGCAGTAGCATAGTACCGGTAGTTGTAAAGTTAAAAAGAGTAGGTACCTAGCCTGTATGATAAATTTTAATTAGGCATTGCCTGAAAGTGCTTTATATTTAACTACAAAAAAATTAATTTAAATAGCGTAATGATTTTTTTAAAATTTAAATTACAAATAAATCTTTTTCATTGCAATTGGTTCAATTAAAGGTGCTTCTTATACTGAAGTGTTTAGATAATCTTGTTGCCTGTCTCGTCTTTCTTTTCCTTTTCGTTTTCTGCATGATCATCTAATTTTGTTAGTTACTAGAACAAACAATTCTTGCAAACATGTGAGAATGTTGCCAACATACTAAAGCAAAAAGGTGGCAACTGCTACTTTACTAAGATATAAAAGTGGTATGTACGTATTAATAAGGGAATAAGTCGTATCTACAGCAGATGCGACTTTTATTGCTTAGTGAATGTCACTTACAGCTAAAATCCCCTAGTAAAACATGTCATTCGTGCAGATACGACTAACTAAAAAATACTTTTTTAAAGGAAATTATTTGTTGTTACGGCTAAAATACCTTAGTAACTGATAGGTAAAATCAAGCTGTTTTAGTAGGTATCAATATCTCAATATAGCCAAAAATTGCAGATACCCCCTTTGTGCTTAGCACGGCAGTGTACTTGTATATTTACTGCTGGCTGAACTTAATAACCTAGTTATTTTCCCTTTTAAATCTCTTTATTAACATGTTTATTTGATGTAAGCATTTAATGTGACCACTTAAATGATCATTTAACAAAAGTGTTTGCAACAATCTTTTGACAAAATTAGACTGTCATGCTGTATAAGCACTTAGATTTTAATATTTACTTGGACATTTCGAATGGTGATTTTATACTGCAGTTACTCAGTTACTGTGTAGCCATAATGTATGTAATGTCAAGCGTACGTGCGTTGAAGCATATTGCCCTCGATGACCATCTATGACTAGTAGTCTAATAACGCATTATTAATAGTAATTACAGTAATGGTTTATGACGTATTTGAGGCAGTTTTATATTTCTTTGTCAGTTAATGGTGTCTGTCCGTATTTGCGTTTGAAATTTGTCATCAGACCAGTCGATGAGTTGTGACATAAGGTTATACATACCGTAGAAATATACGGTCTTAGACTAGAGCCGAATGCAACTATTCAAAGTGCTTAGGAAATTGTAAGTTTTATATTTCTCATCGTATTAAGTTACAAGATGCTTTTTGTAATAACTGTTCTTGTTTTCCTATTAGTTGTAGGCCTACACATTGCATGCTATGTTATGTGTTTACGTGTTTGCCGTTGTAGCTTGTAGCACAGAAAACATATTACTATAACCGTAGTATCTTTTCTGTGCTTGTAGTCGCGTGTAGTATTGTATAATATTAATTACAGTATTTCTGCCTTACTAGTTCTATTATTATCTTGGAGGGTGACTTTCACTCTGCTAGGAATGTGCCACGGTCGCGACGTTGTTGATAACATCTCAGAAGAGTCCTGTGGTCCCAGAATATAGAAATATATGAATCCCCGCGGTGAATTCATGTTAGACAATAAATTGTTTATGTTTTTATGCCTATTTTTGCACACAGTTTGTTTACAAATATATTCACACGGCGCTTATTACTTGGCATTCTTATTATTCGGACACGATGCAAGTGTTGTACTTAGTATTTTGGGTCTAAAACCCTCTTGTTAAAACTGTATTTTGTATCTGCGGCGCACAGTTTTTAACCACCGAATATCGCGAGGTAATATTTTGTTATCTCTATTCACCAAACTCATCTGTTCGAGGAATTGTTTGGTTTGCCCCGTGGTTCATATCCACTAAATCAACAAAGGTCTAAAATACCGCAGATCCATTGTGTGAGTTCGGTCCATGTTCTATTTTCTGCCAGCGCCGCGGCCCGCGACGCCCCGTGTACCGGCCAGCGTCGTCCGTGGTGTGGTAGTGCACAGTAGTGATGTACCCACACCACAATGGCGGCATTCCGTCACGGTGACTAGACTCGTTTCCGGTTTCCTGTCTCACAACAGTACCGGGATTTGGCCCTTATTCAACAAATTGGGAATAACAGCACCACTGTGTCGTTTGTGTTTGAAGATTGAAACAATTCCAACATTTTGATTGCAGTTAAAAAGACTTCAACGTTTGTAATTAGGTCGAACATATTATTATTACTTAAATTAATGTTTGCTCAGTATTTGTAGTTTTGACATGCTTTAAAAGGAAGGTCTTAAAAATTACAATTTTTGCCTATCTAACCTTGGGCTTAGGCACATAAGACACTCATAACAGGGCCTGGAACTTGCTAGGGTTAAGTTAGTAGAGATCTTTTTCTTATCTATATTGATGACCATAAGTGAGCTTTTAATTAATTGTGAATTGTCTTTTTTTGGATGCAAAATAAAATCCTATAGCAAAATAAGTCCTTAAATTTTCCAAACAAATTATGAAGTTTGAAAACTTAAATTAATGTAGGCTGTTTTGGAGGAAATAAATATTTACCAATCACCCAAAGAAATTTGTATTTGCTTGTGATTACCATAATACAGTACTTAATAAATTGCACTTTTGATCTGGTCTCAGCATTGATAGGTAAGATGAATATAAGTAAACAGAATACAATGAAACACAAATCCTAAGCTTTTAAATAATTGAATCCTGCACAGATTAGCAATAATCTGGTTTTACCTTTTGTAATATAAGCAATACATACTTAATAGACTAGCAAACATT